CCTCAAAGCCACAAACATTTTTTTCCATGTGCTTTACGCATGCACGTTTAATGTATAATGGACAGTATAAGCTAGGCTAAAATTATCTTTACCGATTCTAAGGCATTTCAGTTAATGTTGCAGATCGTGCTGTTCCTTATCTTCTAATTGGATCCAGCTTATTATTTTTTTGCAGACTGTTAGAGCAATTTTATAAAAATTAAGCTTCAACTTTCGATTATGTCAAAAAGCAAAAAGTGTTCCTAATTCTGGAGCTGCCAAAGGATTTACAAAGCGAAAGCATGTTTCGATGTCCATCAAACAAAAGTGGAATTGCTGCAAAAAATGGATAAAGGCATATCCGCCTCAAAATTATGCAAGAAGTATGACATAAGCAAAAAGAAAAAGGAACTTTTTGAATTTTTTGTGGATTCTGACAACCCACTAAGTAATGAACAACAGAAAAAGGGTTCGTTATGCTAAAAGTGATGATCATGACAAAGTGATGATTGAATGGGTCAGACAGCGTCGCAGCAAGGGCGTGCCATTGACAGGTCCAATGCTAACGATCACTAGTGAACAATTATCTCCAGAACAAATTTACAACACTGATGAAACTGGTCTTTTCTGGCAATATGTACCGTGGAAGACCTTGGCAACCTCTACAGAAAAGGCTCTAAATGGTGATAAAGATTCCAAAGTGAGACTAACAATTATAGCGTGCGTAAATGCTGCAGGAACACACAAGTGCAAACTTTTCGTAATCGGAAAACATGCACAACCTTGAGCATTTAAAGGAGTAACGATTTCCCCCGTTATATATCTTGCAAATAAAAGGAGCATGGATGACACAAGCATTGATGAATGATTGGTTTGAAAATCATTTTATACTAAAGGTTCAGTAACATTTGAATTCGGTTGGTTTACCAGACGACTCAAAAATAGTCCTGATTGTTGACAACTGTTCAGTGAATACTTCACTCAAAGTTTTAGCAAAAGATAATGTATCTGTATTATTCTTCCCTCCAAATTGTACGTCTATCATTCAGCCTATGGATATGGGAATAGTGCACGCACTGAAATGCAAATATAAAGTAGCATTTTAAAAATCTATGTTAAATTTCTTGAATAATGGCAAGACTATGCAAGACTTTTTTAAAATTTTTTAGCATAAAATCTGCTGCATGGAGCATCGCAAAATCGTGGGAGTATGCGTCTCCAGATACGTTAAAAAATGCTTGACATAATTTATGGCTAGCTACCATATTCCATGGTGAGGACAATGAAGATGATAGCCGCGAATTTGAAGGTTTTCGAACATAGCAAACTAAAGATGAAATTTTCCAGTTATTGGATTTTGTAAAGAAATGTGAAGAAGCGGTAATAAATGAAGATGACATAACAGAAGTTTTTCATTGCGACAACAATGCCCCAATCATCAATCAATTAACAGATGGCGAAATCTGTAGTAAGGTTCTAGATCCAGAAAATACTGCTTTCTGATAGTGAAGAAAGTGACAGAGAGGTTATTGAAAAACGAAAAAAAATTTCGATTGACAAATTAGTCGGTATTCTCGCACACAACAATTACAGGACTTAACAGTGGAACTTTGTAACTGAACAAGGAAATTATGTCTGTTTATAGAATTAAATGAGAAAGTATTAGCACAAAAAACGAAGCAGCTTAAACAACTTACATTGAAAGAAATGTTTAATAGAGTAAACAAATAAATATTAAGCTTTTTTTTTTTTTGTAAATTTTGATACCCTTTAGATCATAATTGCTCTTTATTTTATAAATTACGGTTTCATATTTTTAATTGTATAATTTCTGCATGCCATCTTACCAGACTTAAATTGATGATCTATAATCCAGAAAAACCCCTAATATGGAATCGCCGAAGTCCCGACGAGTCCGGATTACAGACTTGGTACTGTAATAATTGTGTTTCAAAGGGACACTGGCTTGTATTTACATTAAAAAGGGCACGGTAAACCATGGGTATACATGGAATACAGAGCATGGTAAACCATAGGCAGGTAACGTTTTCTTTGAGATTTAACCCTTAATAAAGCTACTAATATTCAGCAGACTTTCTCATTTATGTGATCACTGGTGAAGAATTGCAAGATTTTGAACTATCATACAAAACTGAATTGTGGAGAAAGTTGTTTTTACAGACTGGATAGAAAATTCAAGGATATCAGAAGATTCTTAAAGTTTCATATGCTTGCTAAGCCTACTTTACTCCATTCAAACTTCTGAATTAAAAAAATATGAATGCCAATTAAATTATGATCACAGTGGCATAAATAAGAAAGAATTACCCTGAAACAAGCAAAATATTTCAGAGTTTTATTTCTATTACTGCTTTGGAAATGAAATAGAATAGTTAAAGGATGGTCACTATGAATTTTTACAGTTTATTCTAAAATATAACTCTAACATGCATTTCCAAATAGTGTAGTACTACCATGAACTTTCTCACAACTGCTGTAAGTGTTTCTTGTTGCAAAAGGAATTTTTCTACATGATAATCAATCAAGAAGCCCTTGAGACATAAAAATAGCGAGCACCTTGCACTTAGAAATCTTATATTGCATTGTCTCCAGAATGAATAATGTAATGAGTTAAATTTTTAGAATAACACCAACAGTTTTGCTACCAGAAAAACAAGCAAAAGAAAACATTAAAATGTTGGAATGTTTAGAGTTGACTTTAGGGTACCCCTTGTATTTATGATAACCTGAGTAGTTGAATGTTATGGAAACCCTATTATGACATAATCTTTTGCATTATTCTGGGAAAGTTTTAATCATGGGATGTTTTGCAAGGGCTTTCGTGGTGTGTTTGTGTGATTAAAAAGTACATTGCTTGTTTCATTGTTTAGACGGTAGAATGGCTGAACGTAGTAAAGTTAATTTAAAGTTTGTGTACGATTTGGAATGAAAGGAAAAAAGTGCATTAATTGACAGGTGTGTAAATGAAGATTTACTTAATAGCCATTTTCCAGACAGTCCGGAACTACATAGGATATTTTTTACTCTTAGTTTTGTAAATTTATGTCTGTAGCCGATATACAGATTCTAGTTCAGATAATTTTAGGAAGTTTTTGGATGCTGTTAAGGATTTTTCCTTTTTTATGTTATTTTATTGTTTGGCTTAAAATGTAGTTTCTTGAGATTATGCGTTTTTTGTTTGCCTCTAGAACTGGGTGCTCCTTTGACTTTTTAAGTGAAAATATATCAATGTGTACATGGACAAATTCAAGGAAGTGTGCAAAGCCTAGTTTGTGCAATTCTCTGATGTTTTTCTAAGTGAAAATAGATCGATGCGTATATGGATAAAGTCAAGGGAGTGCACAATGCCATTTTTGTGCAATTCTGGGATTTTTTTTAAGGTGAAAATAGGTTGATGTGTACATGGATACTGAGTTTGGGCAATTCTTTATCTTTTTATTTTGGCTTTGTGTAGCGGCAATTTTTGCCACAAAAAACGCCGCTATGCAAGCCAAAGAATTGCACAAACTCGGTATCCATGTACCATCAAAAATCACCAAGTTTTGCCAAGGGGTACCCTAAAATATACTTTTACCATTGCATTTAAGGTTAAAAACTCAACACAGAACTCTAAATAATTTTTCTGTATATTGATTTGATATTTTATAGATCTGCTACTCACTGAGAATGGCAGCATATGAATAACTTGCATGCTAAACTTTTTGCTGTGCCACCGGTAGGAAATGAATAAAGCCAATAAGCTATTCGTTATTTAACTTGTCATTCACGACAATCATCTTTCATGCAACTGACTGATAATTACTAAGAATTCAATAAGACTAATAAGAAATATAACAAGTGCTGTAATGGCAATAACAGTTTCCTCCACAGAAAAATTTACGGTTAATGTTTACAATTGGTTGCCCCTTGTGTTTTAGCGATTCTTTTTTGATGCCAAGATCGGCACCAGGAAGGCACAATTTCAAGATGGCCGCTACACAAAACAAAAATAAAAAGTCAAAGAATTGCACAAACTCTGTGTCCATGTACACATCGATCTGTTCTCACTTAAAAAAAACATCCCAGAATTGCACAAACTAGGCATTGTGCATTGCCTTAAATTTATCCATGTTCACATCAATCTATTTTCATTTTAAAAAAAAATCAGGAAGCTAAAACAAAGTTAAAACTATCATGGTAGTTTAGATAAAACAAAGTTAAAACTATCAACAAAGGTTTCATCACCAAAATTAAAAAAAAATTGTTGCTAATCGAAGGGGCACACAATTCTACACCTAGAGCCAAATTTATTAACAGAAATACGACTTTTACAGTTTACATTTGAAAGATAGGCAGTTTTCATATAATTGAAAGAAATATAATGGCATTACACAAATGAAAATTAAGAAATGAAAGGAACATTAAGCTATAGTAATAAATAAGACTTTAAAAAGAACCCAAGAAAGCAAGAAAATAAAGGTGCACTTATTTAAAAACTCCTTCTAGAATTATAACGTATTATTCATCTAGAATTTATGAAAGATGTTACTAGGAAGGGAGGGGGAAAAAAAAGCTTTTCAGTTGTTTGGCAATGCATGCTTGTCACAAATGGGCTCTACAATGTGTAATTATGATAAATTCACTTTAAAAGGGTGTATCTCTAAAACTTTTTTATTCGCATAAAAACTCTTATGCTTCATTCTGCATAAATAATTGTGAAGATGAAGTTCAAATTAGTTAATATGGGAAGTAGATGAGTACTTACTGTAACTTTTATTTCCACAATGTTTTTTAAATGCGTGTAATGTTAATTTTAATAATGTATGAAAATATAAAAATAAATATACTTTTTAAGAAAAGTACTAATGAAGTTTAACATAAAAAATTAGTTCCATCACTGAGAAATATTATCATACCGGGGAAATATGGCACTGAATGAATTGAAAAATTGCTTATTTTTTCATAGACCTTTTGCACATATCACCAGAATTTAAAATAGCAAATAATAGTTAAAGACTCACTTTTTTACAACGAAAAAAGGATCTTCCACTGTCATATCCTTTCTATTTTGCCCATGCAATCACACAAATAAGGTCCATTTAAATACCGAAAGTCACTAATTGATATACAGAAACAAGAGTTATGAAAAATTTAATTAATCAAACATTCATGAAATCCATTGGCTTATTTTTCAAAAAACAACAACCTTAAATCAAATAATTTCCCTGAAAAATTACAAACCGGCCACACTGCGTATCAAATGTATACACAACCCTCAAGACTTATTTTCCAATGCCACTCATTAAACATGTAGCTAGAAAAACGATAAAATAGAAAAGTATAGTTTTTGACCTTAGTTGATAAGCGAAATAGAATTCAGTTAATTTTAACTGAATTATTGATTGCGTATTTTTTTAAATGTATGATAGTTATCATATGCCGTTATATTTTATTAATCTCGTAACAAAGTTTATTAACTGTGACCTATACAATCTTTGTTTAGCAAACAAATCCCGCCAATGCTTATTTATCACGTCAGTGACTTGTATTGAAGGTTGAAATTAAAGAGGAAAAAATAATCAGGTTTTGTAATTCTCTACTTTATGAACGAAAGTTGAAGTAGTTGACACTACTGTAGTAAGGTTACATATTCTCAGTCATTCAGTTAGATATGACAGAACGTCTAGTATACAAAAGTAAAGTTAACAGTGCAAAATAAACTCTCGCATTTGTTCGGCGTTAATTTTACTCATTCAAATCGAAGTGAGGACCTGCTCCATCACATTCGAAGGTCTCGTATTTGCAGGTAGGAAAATGCTCTCTTAATTAAGAAAGCTTTAAATAGCTCATATATTATACGCAAAATTTTGTTTCGTCATGTATTTCGCATGTTAAAATAGAATTTTATCGAAAAATAGTCTGTTCAAAATTTGGAGCCGAATTTTTACAAAAATACTGTTTAAGTATTTACTAGATAATACTTGGATATACACTTACTTTTTTGTGTCCTTAGTTTAATTACGTATAAGGTATTTTTTTAATATATCTATTTGGCTTTTATTTGATCCTTGATTAGTCGTTCACATTGCAAATATAATGAGTAAGGTAAGTGGCATTGGTAGTATTCAAGAACTGATGTTAACATATCAGTATTAATTAATAGGTTGTTTCTTTTTTTGTTCTCTTGTTATTATCATTTTTAAACTCGTTAATAATTCAAGCAAAAGTTCGAAAGAAGATTTTTTTATATTTTGAATATTAAACAAAAGCTCTATGAAAGTAACAAAATTAAGTATCAGTGTACCAGCCGATATGTTACAAAAATTCCATCCCCGATTCCTGCGAGAATTTGGCAGCTTTATGAGCTGTTCTAGCTTCTTTTATTAAAAGGAAATTTTGTAACTTTCTTTTCTAATTAATGTTCTCACTTTGTATGTCTTTGGCTGAAGATAGGTGGGGGAAGGCTTTTTTAATTCAGTGACAATTTCAAACTATTAGAACAAGCACTGGATAATTATTTTTTTGTAACCTTTTCCAGTGGAAATTTCTTAGAACACTTCTTTGTCTTGTACAAATTTTTACTGCATTTTGTAACATATATTTATGAGATTTACTGAGAAATTTACCAAAAGCAATTCATTATTTTCTTCCACATGGTATTCTGCCAGAATTGTCAAGTTTCAGTTCTCATGCATCAAAATTGTATGTGAAGAACATTGTTTAAATTGCATTGAAGCAGCCCTCCTATACTTGTTGATTTTTTAAGATTAGTTGTAGCTAACTGTGCCTGTTAGTACAACTTTTTTTTTTTTTTTATGGTAGGAGCCCATAACTTTGAAAATAATCCAGTTCTTTTTTGTTTTGTAGGAGGCAGATCTAAAATTTTAATAATTTCTTTCAAAATGCAAGAAAAAGTACAGTAATAATAGTTAATTTGGTACTATTCGGTTTCGAGGGCTGTAATAATTTAGATGAAAGTTTAATTTCATATAATATTTTGCTACCGAGTTATCGCTAAAGCATAATGTCATCTCGTTGGTTGTTCAAACATAATTTTCTATAATGAATGATGCCTTTTCTTTGAAAACATTTTCGGTGAAGTGCAGAATCGCCCGCTTGTTTCTTTGACGCTTTTTACAAGGGTAAAACAATTGGAATTGGGTCAATTTTCTTTTACTTTTTAAGTGACAACAGGTCGATGTGTACATAGATAAAGTGAAGGATGTGCGCAGTGCCATTTTTGTGCAATTCTGAGATTTTTTTTTAAGTGAAAATAAGTTGATGTGTAATATGGATACTGAGTATGTGTATTTCTTAAAAATGCATCAAGCAGTGGGTGATTCTGCAATTTACCCAAAATTCCATCGCAGACTTTTCATCATAGGAAATTCCCAAATTGTTAAATCTATAGGATATCAAAAAAGGAATTAAAAATTAAACTGGTATTTCAATGGTGTCTTAACAAATATAGAACTATATAAAGTTATGCAATCTGAAATCAGCGTGTACGCGAGATTTGGCACGCTGTTAAATGGATGTGTTTGCTAGATTTAGCGCTTTCCTGCATACATTTTCGCTGCAATTTTTTTACGGCCCTCAAAACCGAATAGTATACCGTTAATTTATATCTTTGTTCATTAAAACAAAGATGGCTTCTCAAGAAACAATTGAAGTTCCATAAGTTTGAAAGCATAGATATTATGAGTATGCTATTATGTCACATGTGTCCATAATTGGTACTAAATAATCCTGCTTGGTGACAGTTTC